AGAAGTAGAGTTGGAAGTCAAAGCCTTTTTCCCTGACATTGACCCAAAGCCATCTAGGCACTACCTAAATTTAAAGAATTTAGCTCTAATCATTCCATGCAAAAGGAAAGTGTATCACCCTTCTTAGGCAGGGTAAAAACAATCAGTAGTATTCTAACTTCCCACACACTCCTTTTAAGGAGGGTTAGACAACAAACAATTGTTAGGCCATGGCACCGACAGAGAGTAACAGGAAGGTGTTAATAAGAGAGGCAAACCCTTTATAGCCAAAGAACATCAGAAGGATCCATGCACACTGTGCAGTTCCTCTTATCCTATTTACTTCATTTCTGTCCCAACCCACAGGCTCCTTAAATGTTTCTTTGTCAAAGTTCTGACATTTGTCTTCTTTTTACTCCATCCATGCATCTCAAAAAAGGCTTTAGTGGCATTTGGGTGGAACAATTCATGCTTATCTGGGACTGCCCTACTAAGTGTAGGATGCCTGGCACCCTGGCCCGCACCTACTAATGTCAACAGCCCTCCATGTCTACTGGGGCAACCAAAAATGCATTCCCAAGTATCTTTAGGGGGTAAATACCACCCAAACCTTTCCATTTCAAGGAAAGTGCCCTAAAACGCCTCTACAAATACATTGGAGGGTGTTCGCCAACCGCCATGGGTCCCAAGAACCAACAGCCCCTGGGCAGATGCCGCCAGTTGAAATGCTTTGGAATTTAGGAGCCTTGTAGAATAGGAGGCCCTAAGTGTTAACTGAATTGAAAATTTTTTAAAAGAAGAAAAGAATTTTGCAGAGACATACTACTGATACATACACACACACACACACAGTCAAAATGATTGTTGTCCCTGCTGTTTTCAAACAGTGTCAACTTACATAAATCTTAGTGTTATTTATTGGCAGTCAACAACCTAAGTCACAATGAAGGGGACTAGACACCACACTGTTAATTTGGATGTCAAGGATGTTCTGACCACAACCTATATTGAATATGTCATCACCTATAGCTATAATTTTTCATTAGGTGGAAGTAAAACAATGAAGAGAGCCCTGGTTATGACATACTTAACAATACCATTCTTACTCTGTAATATCTAATTCAGACACTGATCATTTATTTTATTCAAGATTTTATTTCACATTTTCTTGGGACTGTAAACTCTTTCATGAGTAATACATAAGTAGTTGTCAACACTTCAGTGTCACTCTTGAAGTTCAACAAGCAAGTCTTACATCAAGAAATGGCCTTTGCAAATCTTCTGAGTACTTTGAATTTCAAAAGGGCTGTATCTGAAATGAGTGTTTCAAACGAAATCAAAAACACTTTTGTAATGTTAGTTATTATGATATAGACATAAGGTTATCATGTAAAAGCTGAACATTCCTAGTTGAAATATAACAGAGATCAAATTATCACAAAGGCAGATATCCATATTAAAGTATTGCATTAGAAGTGAAAACAAAATAAAAATGTAAAGAATACAGATATTTCTTTGTTTTTCTTTTAATGGAGGCTGAAAAGTATTTCAGTTTTCTTTTTTAAATAAAAAAGACAAAAATGTTCAAAATAGCCCCTTACTACAAACTATAACAGAAATAAAAATTTTTAATAAAATCTTCAATGATTTAAATTTTGTGAATGATTGAAATTAAAGTAAAATTTTAGTCTATACTTTAAATAAAATGACTTATTTCAAGGTTAGCCAATTATGAATTTGTCAGCCATATCCAGTGACTTCCCCTGTATTATTTCGGGCTCACATTTCTTACTGCTTGTTTCTCCTTTCCTTGTGTTTCCTTTTCTAACTACATTATGTTTATTGTAGAAGCTGAAACTACAGAAAAGTACAAAGACAGAAATTAAAATAGCTCATAATTCATTAAAGATAATTATCCTTTATGTTTTGATAAATTACCTTTCAAATAATTAAAATCTAAAACAATATGAAATCCCACTCTTTAGATCTGCTTTAAAAATCTAAATGTATTAGAAAAAAAGTCCATATTATTAAATATTCCTTTCAAGCATTTTATTGGTTATATAATTGTACACTACATAGGTATACATAGTTTACTAAACTAAACCCATATTACTATTACAGTTATTTTAGAATTTTCTTTCAGTTTTCCTGACCTCTTAGAGTGATGATCTTTACATGCCTACTAACCATGAACTACATTAATACTTTTGTTATTTATCCTAAGACTTTGTTCATTGAGGGCAGTCTACTTAGGGGTACATACATACTCTACTGAAAAGGCTATAACATAATGCTTGGTATGAATGATAAGTATTCCATAAAAGATAACTAAAATAATAACTAAATAAATGAACATACACGTCCTTCAAGCTTCAGGGAATACCCTGGATTCTAATATTTTGGTATTTGATAAACTCAGTTATGTTCATCATTTCTACTTGTATTAACTTTTTCAGATAAGATGCCTCTAACAGCTTCTATCTTTCTCAGAGCAGGAAAAAAAAAATGCTAATACTTTTTCCCTCTCCTTATCAAGCAGATAATTCTCTTTGATTAGCTAAGCCAAACTTACATGTTAACACTGCTGATCTAGTCAAAGAAAATATTCTTCTGTTTCAGTGAGCATTAGAAAACCTCTTTCCTTCCTTCACTTTTGTTGATGTAATGTTAGTGCTTATCTCAAATTTTAAATCGTTTCAATATCATAGAGGAATATTACTAGTTTAATAGTATTTTCCTGACACATACTATGTTCCAGATGGCTCTTATTCATATGGAAAAGCTTATAAGAGAAATGCTAACTAAAACTATGCTCAGATAATCCTTCTTACCTATCAGATTGACAAAAATCTAAAGGTTTGTTGATATATTCTGCTAGAAAGACTTTGGGGAAGCAAGCATTCATCTATTCTTGGTGGTATTGCAAAACGGTACAATTTCTTTGAAGAAGAATTTGGCAGTATCTTACAAAATAGTATACGCATTTACCCTTTGATCTAGCAATCTTATTTCTAGAAAATCTCAAAGATAGAATGGCTAAAATATAGCAGGGTGTAAGCACAAAGAAAGACTCTCTGTAACAGTAAGACTGAAAATAATCCTAATGCTCATATAGATAGGGGGCTGGATGAATAAATTACTGCACAGTCACTTGCTGGAGAAAGGAGTAAAACATCTCTATAAACTACTATGGAGTAACCTCTAACGTATGTTGTTACGTGAATAAAGAGGTTGAGAAAAATAAGTAGAATATGCTTTCATTTATCTAACAAAGGGAGGGGAATACATATACATAAACATATGCATATGCTTATTATAAAAAACAAAGAAAAACAACTTATTTAAGAGTATCTATACGGGAAGGGAATAGGATAGAGGTGACGGAAATAGAAATTAGACTTCCTTTTTCATGTTTTAAGCTTAATTGAGGTATAATTGATATATGTAAAAGAACCTATTAATATGTACACTTTGATAAATTTGGACTGTCTATGGGCTTTGAATATATCTAGTTTTACAGAGAAAAGCTTGGATTTTTTTTTCTGGCTATCTACTGAAACAGCCTAAAACCACTTAGCAATGAGCACCCCTGGTACTCACTGAAGTTTTAAAATACCACTTCATCTCAAAAGACACCAGAGCTCTTTGGGGAAATGGCTGATTCCAGGCCTGGAGCAGGAATTGTAAAACATAATCCTTTAACATCTTAAAATGTCATATAGCAAGAATATAACCAAAAAATATTAAGATCAAAGATGAAACAATTTGAGCATTAATAAATAGAATAAGGTGAACTTTACCACTTGAGTATATGAACAGATGGATGTACCTTTCCCTTTATAGAAATATTTCGGCTAATAAATGAATAAAGAACGATAAATTAGAGTAACACTGTTTTGCAATCCTTAATGAATTAATGGATCTGGTACTGATTACCACCCATACATTATGTGCTTCGTGGGAAATTCTACAGAACAAATGACCTGATTTCTTCAACAAATAATTCCAAGGAAAAAAAAACATAAAAATGAATGAGGAAAGTTTTTTAATGTGCAGACATGCTATAATCTCTAGGATAGAGGTAAAAAAAAAAAAAAGTAAGGGGCAGAGCAGTGTTTATAGTATGGTAAGATTTAAGTAAAAACAAGAAAAGAATATATATATATACACATATTTTTTCTTACATAATCATAAAGTATTACTAAAAAGATATACAAGAAAGCAAATGTTGACTGTGGTTGTGTTTCAGGTGGCCAGGGAACAGTATATGAATGACATTTTACTATAGGATCTTTTGTATTTTTGGAATTTTAAAACATGTGAATCTATTACTTGCACACACAAAAATTAAATAGAATAAAATCATAAAAGCATCATCATAAGTATGACCACAATGGTGTAGTTATGTAAGAAAATAAACTTATTCATAAGAGCTGAATAGTGAAGCATTTATAAGTAAAACATCCTATGTATATAGTTGGAAAAATTTAAGCAAAAATCATTGATAAGTAAATATGGAAAATTTTAACAACTGCTAAACATAAGTTTTGAATGAATAAAAGTTTATTATATGATTTTATCTACTTTTCATGACGAAAAGTAAAGCAAAAAATCTTAAATATAATGAAAATATATATTATTAAATTGTAGCCGGATACTGCCTATAGAAGACTTAAGCCTGAGGCTTACTCTTTCTTTACTGAAATGGATGAATATCACAGACTAGTACCAAACCAAGGCCCTCTCCTTGATGCAATCAGAAATAAAGAGCAAGTGAAGTGGGGAAAGAGAAGGAATAAAGTGACTTCGGACAGCTGTCTGCTGTCACAATTCATTACACACTGAGCATCTGTCTATCCACCAAACTTGAAACATATCTAAAATTTATTTCAAGGAATCAAGACAAAAGCCAATTAAATGAGACTTTATGACCTGAAATGCCTTCCTTTAGAGATAACAAAGTGTCTATTAGTATGCAACTTCTTGGCACGACCAAAGGCAGAGTGCAGCGCACTTACTTTTTGCTTGCCTCACAGACGTCTGTAATATTGGAGAAAAGATGGTGCCTCTCGGTTTTAGTCATTGTATCACTCAGTTCTTTAGAATTTTTAAACATTCGTATCAAGATCTCCAAGCTGAGTAGATATGAATGTTCAGAGGATATGACTTCAAAGATAGCCTGGTAAGAAGGACAAATAATTGTATTATTAATTATTTTAATTAAAGAACTAAATATAGCTGTCATAATTTTGCTATAAGAATAACAAGATATTCCACTTTTCAAGCATAATATCTTGGAAAGTACAAAAAGAGAAGCATTAAAGAAACAACATCACCAAACTACTCTCTTTACATAATACACATTTACCCAAATCTTAAAAAATAATCACTATCTGTAAATATGAAAAAAATGAAAGCATGTGGATGACTTGACATCACATCCTGAGGTCATGCCTTTGCCAAGGGGTAGAATCTACAGAAGGAAGCTAGAGCATGTCATAAAATCTCAGTGTGACATTCATTAACCTTTGGGGTCATCTCCTCCAGTCCTGCTTTCAAAGCATGCTGCTTTAGGGAAAGTAAGGATTTATGGTCCTCTCTTGAGACTCGGAGAAAATTTCTCACACCTTCCTTCCCTTCCCTCTTGTGTGTCATGCTCTTCCTCTCTCTACGCTTAATCTAATTTCAGTCAATAACAGCAAATATTCTGGTAGGACTGTGTCTACCCTCAAAAGGTTCTTATCAGCCACAGGAATTCTTTTATATAAACTCATACAATTGAAAGTAATTCCATCTGTTCAACAAGTCACACTCTCCACTCTCATCAGTGTCTCAAGAAGGAGCAAAGGACTCTCTGCAGAGACTCTCAGAGGCAGGCACACGGTGGTTTTCCTGATAAGTACTAACGATGAAATACCAACCCACATATGTGGATAAGACTCCAACGCCCTGTGTAAGGAATTCATCTAGATCCTTAACAAAATCAAATTCAGATCCTCTAAAAAGGGACATAGGGAAAATGCAGGCCTAAGATTCACAGACTTCCTGGAAAGCTCCCTGGTAATGCCGCCTTCATCACCCTGATCTCCAGGGCTCCACCCCTTCAAGTCCTTGCCCCAAAGAGCAGAGGGTACTGTGCTGGGTGGGAGCAGGAACGGCACAAGCAGGTGCTAATGGGTGCTCTATATTTTAGAAATCAGGTTAGAAGTGCTAATCTCAGGGTTCACCTCCACTTTTAACTTCTGTAAGGTTTAGGGACTTGGGTCTTATTTAAATGTGCTAATCTAGCCTCAGCTGTGTTTCATGAAATTAAGTGATTTAACTATCTGAAGAGTAAAGAGTTAAAAAATGTTAAGAGTCTCATTTAACCTGTATGTTGTGTAATTTTTTCAATCAATACAATAACCCCCAAAAACTATACACAAAGCAAATTAAAGAAAAAATTACCTTCTGGACCATAAATAATGGATTTCAGGTGTTGATGTATATGATGCCTTGGAATGACTTAAAATATTTGCAACAGCAAAGACATTTTTCACTTCTTCAATGCTGAACTATGCTAATTTATTAGTGTGATTAAGTGTTGAGGGTTTTGAGAACCAAAAATTAATACTGCTGAATTCAACATTTTATATAATTTATTTTAATTTGTTTTTGAAGGGCATAAACTAATTAATAAAACCTTTGTTATCTCCAAAGGAAAACATTTAGGGTTATAAACTCTCATTCATTTGGCTTTTGTCTTGATTCCTTGAAATAAATTTTGAGGTATGTTTCAAGTTTGGTGGACAGACAGATGTTCAGTGTATTATGAATTGTGACAGGAGACAGCTATCTGAAGTCATTTATTTCATTCCTTCTTTTCCCCCACTCTGCTCAGTCTTTACTTCTGATTACATCAAGGAGAGAGTGTGTAATCTAATCCAAATATCCAAACTGGACAAAAAGACATAATGAACTATTTATAACAGATCACAGGAAACGGTAAATAATTGGTAGTTTATTATAATACATTTAATAAAATAATTGCTAAAATATACTGCAATAATACTATCAACTCTTTAAAAGCAAATTAGGTTAGACCTGTTATATATAGCAGGTAGAAATAGCTATATAGGAATAGAAAGTCTGAATAAATATTTTCAGAATATGATAGAAATAGGCAAGGTTTAAATATATAAGGTTTAAAAGAACAGAAGTGTTCAAATGGGATTAATACCTTGGAGGAGCTTTTAAATTTAGCCACAAGGAGAGGGAAACGTTTTTACGTCACAATGCTAACAGTGAAGGAAAAAGTCCCATCTACTGTCCAGCATTGGAAAAATAGATAAAAAATCTTTAAAGGTGGTGTTCATAGAAGAAAATACTATATGATGATTGAAATGAATGATCTAGATTCATATGCATTAACATGAATAATCTCAAAAATAATGTTGAGTGTAAAAAACAAATAATCAAAAAATATGCACAGAATAATATCATACCTATTTTCACACACATGCACAAAAAATATGTGTGTGTAGGTTATACATAATTTTAAAACACAGGCTGGAAGTATACATACCAGTTGTTGTCTCTGGGGAGGAAAGGAAAGAAATGGGACTAAGGAAGAGAATGCAGGCCTTCTACACTATCAGTTTTATGTTCTTTTTAAAAAAGGAGAAAAATTACAATTGTTATACATTTGTTAATTCTCAGTGGATAGGTACATCAAAGTTCTATATTATTACTTTTTTAAAACTTGGAAAAATGGCACTATACTGCACCCTTAAATTTTGCTTTATTCTTAATGTCAACCAAAAAAAAAAAAAGGGACATCCTTGTGTCCTTTGTGGAATCAATTTATATGCATGCATATGCACTGACATACACACACGCGCACACACTAATATGCATGAAGCAAGAGGAAAACACTCTGAGAGCTTCACAATATTATTACAATATGCAGTTTTCTCAAATTGCATTGATTTAAACTTCAAGTTGTAAAACTCCATTATTAACTTGTTTTTACTAAATAAACTTTTTATTTTGGTAAAATTTTAAATTTATAGAAAACTTGCAAAGAGTGTTCAGAGCCCCCTGTATGCTTCATCCAGCTTTCCCTAACCTAGGGTATCTTACATAAATAGGCTCCATTTATCTACAGACTAATGTGACCATCAGTTTTTCCATAAACATCCTTTTTCAGTTCTAGGATCCAACGTTGGTTTCATTCTTTATCATATTTCTCTCAGTTTAAATACCTGAACTAGGGACTTTGTTGTTTAAAATCAAATGATGTTGAGTGATATTGAGATATTTAAAATTTTTTTCTTTTCTGGGGGCTTATGTGTAGCTTTACTTTAAAATGATCACTTACTGCTTGTGTTAAACAAATACAATTTTCAAAGGACAACACTGAACAAGTGCACACAAAAAGTGAAAACACAAAAGAGCAGAGACTGACACGCACACTCCAGAGCTCTAAAGCAGCTGCTCGATAGAAACATACCTCTTGTCTCTTTCTTTCCTCTTGGCTTACTGTCTGAGATAATCCATTTCTTTTCACCTAGGAGAAAAAGCAAAGTAGAGTTGACTCATTTATCAATACTTTAAAAGTTTCCTTATTATTCAAGGCATAACTCTACGCCCTTCAAAAATGAATTAAGATAAACTATACAAAATGTTGAATTCATCAAATTATTATTAATTAATCAGCAATTATTTACTAAATATTTATAGTGTGCCAAAAAATATACTAAGCATTTTACACCCTTTTTCCCATTGAATCCTCATACAAACTCTAGAAAGCTGATACTGTTCTTTTCCCCATTTCATAGATGGGGGTAACAACTGAGGCTTAGGATCCAAGAGCACGTAGCTAATAGGTAACAAGGCCAGGATCTGCATCGATGCCGGTCCAATTCCAGGGCTAATGCTTTTAGTCAACATTATTGGTTAGGGACCCCCTACTTTATATGAAAGGCACCCCATTTTAAGGGTTGGGCTAGCATCACTAAGACCCCTTCTAATACCAAGTCTGTACCAGTTTTCATGTGTTTTTTTTGTCCACATATGTCTTGGAATGTTCTTAGCTTTACCCACCATCCTGACCCTGGGTCAGCCTGTCAGCAAGAATTCATGGTTAAAAAGGATTCTTTACACATTTTAATAAGGGAGGAGACTGGCCAGAAGAATGTAACCCTTCAGAGCTGCTCCCTTTGGTTAACCCTGACGAGGAATTTCACAGGATTTCCTGCATGACCTAAAGCCCGGCAGATAGATATACAGGTGTCATGCCCACAATCTCTGCAGGTGAGGTCACCAGCAAGACTTTCCATGCCAGTGGCATCTCCGCCCAAATGGGGTTCAGACCCAAAAAATCTTGAGAAGAGAATGAAAAACCTGGGCTTAAAGACCTACACAGATGACAGCTAGTTTACTGTGGAATTAAGAGTACTTTGTCCGATCAACAGAGAGGGTAAACCCACAACTAAAGTACTTGCTCCTTTGAAGGGAAAGAGAAGGTAGTTTTGACAAAGATAAAGCATTAATATACAGAATTATAATCTTTCACTAATACTAACATGACAGATAGTAAAATATTCCTTTAATAAAAAAGCCATCAGTAAGGAACTAGCAAAACTATGGTGCTAGAAAAAGACATTCCGGGCAGCATTCTTGTATTCTGATTAAGAAAACTGAAGGGTCGCACATTTGGGGAGCCTGAAAGTTCCCTCTAAGTTATGACAAAGCAGCTCCTCATTGCTGGCTGCCAGGCTGCTGCTCCCAGGCCTGTGCTCCCGTCTCCATCCTTCTATGCCCTGTAACAGAACAGGCTCTCCAGATTCTTCCTCCGAGGCCCCGAAGAGTCATTTTGTCCACCTGAGGCATCATTCCACAGTCAACTCCAAATTAAGTAGCACCATACAGCAGGTGTCTGGAGTAGAAGGTCATGAACAGGCAAGAAGATTTCAGAGACTGATCAAGGTGGAGAGATGAAGCCCAGGAGGGGAGAGAATGATCTGAAAAGAGGAAGAATGATTTGAAAAGGGGACCCCAAGAAGACTGAGAGAGAGCAGAGAAGAGACAATCAGGGGAGAATGAGAATGTAGGTGAATAACATCAAATGGAAGTAAGGAAGAAAGAAAAGCAGAGAGGAAAGGAGGGAGGAAGAATGGAAAAGGAAGAAAAGAAGGGGAAAGAATGTGTACAAAGTTTTTAATAGGAAATACCTCTGAAAATTCTCAAATTCAGAAACAGTGACCTTATCTGTAAACTTAAGTAAAAATCACTTGACGTTCCAGGCTTTTTTAGCATGAAAAACATACGTTTATACCTACAGTCTTAACATATACATCCTTTTTGAAGTTTACCAATTTTTGCTAAGAGAATCTAAAGTATTGTCAAATTTATCACATTTCTTCAAGTGTTTCTATTGTCTCCATTTGTGGGCAGGAAAATATAATATACCAGCTTTTAAAACCTACGAGTCTTACTTGATATATAAGGTGAAGGAAATTAAAATTGTACAGGCTTCTTTTTCTTATTTATTTATTTATCGAGACAGAATCTCACTCTGTTGCTCAGGCTGGAGTGCAGTGGCGCTATGTCAGCTCACTGCAACCTCCACCTTCCAGGTTCAAGCAATTCTCCTGCCTCAGCCTCCTGAGGATGAGGAGCTGAGATTACAGGTGTGCACCACGGTGCCTGGCTAATATTTGTATTTTTAGTGGAGAGGGGGTTTCACCATATTGACCAGGCTGGTCTGGAACTCCTGACCTCAGGTGATCCGCTCACCTCGGCCTTCCAAAGTGCTGGGATTAGAGACGTGAGCCACCGCGTCTGGCTTCATTTTTAAAATATACATTTCATACCAGCTTCAGCTAGGTACAAATGGGAAGACGTAGACAGCCAAAGCAATACTCCTTTAAACACACAGACAGCCAAAGCAACCTCATTTGAACTTTCTTATTCCTCACTGGTTTAAATTTCTTATTTAAATATGTCATCGACAAGTAGAACTGCAAAAGTAGTTTTTAACAAAGCAGTAAGAACTGGATTTAATGTGAGGTTCTTGATTTTGTATAATCCAGCCAATTCATAAAACTGTTCAAATCTGTGGATTCTGAATTTTAAAGAGAATATATGAACATATGTCAATACCTTCAACATTTTAAGTAGATAGAAAATAATTCAAATAAAATGACAGTGAACAATACTACAGTTTTGACATGTTAAAAATATGAGCATATATCTGTGCCTTATTAAGACAGTGAATGCACAGAACTCGCTAATGTTATAATAGTTTTAAATTCATAATTACAAATTTACTGTATAATGGATGCTGAAATTCTTGACCTGTGATCTTTATAACTGAAAAATTTTGCATGTCAAAATGAGATAGAAATTAATAATTCACTAAACCTAATAAAGAACACTAAAAGATATTTCTTCTATGGATATGATGCTGTCTAGTTAGACCCAAAACATAGGTTATGAAATTTGTAAACGGGTAAGCTCCCAAAGTATAGATCCAAAAGGTAATTATTAGACACTCCATCTAAAATCATGCCGGTTTCCCTTTTGATACCTTGTGCTATGGTCTGAATGTTTGTGGTCTCCCAAATTCATATATTGGAATCCTAACCCCTAAGGTGATGGTATTAGGAGGTGGAGCCTTTCAGGAAGTGATTAAGCTTTGCCCCATGAATGGGATTAATACCCTTTAAAATAGGCCCCAGAGAAACCCCTAACCCTTCTACCATGTGAAGAGGTAGCAAGAAGGCACTAAGTGCCAGAAAGCAGCCCCTTGCCAAACACCAAATCTGCCCTGATTTGGGGCTTTCCAGCCTCCAATACTGTGAGAAATAAATTTCTGTTGTTTATAAGCTACCCAATTTATGCTATTTTGTTATGGCAGCCCAAACTAAAGTACCTTGCAGGTCTGAGCTTCTCAGATAAATACCCTAAGAAGGAACAGACAAGCTTTAGACTGTGAGTCCATTATTACACTCGTTCCAGTTACGCTAAGCATCTCCACCTTGCAGCGAAATGTGTAAAAGAACTATAAACTCTGTGTAATATTTATTGGTCTTTGACTCCACTAACTGGAATAGGTTATGAGCCAAGTTCTCTAAGCCCCAAATAGATCCTCAAATTGTCATTTACACAGAACTTATCTATGGATCTAGCCAGTCCTACAGTTGTGGAGAGAACCAAGATTAGCACCAGTCCCTTAACTGATCAGATAATCATTTTCTGTGAAGTAAAGAGGGATATTTACGTTCTGACACCCTCTTTGTTCTCAGACCCTCCATGACTTGACACTGTTTCTAGATGAATGTGCATTCCTTCTATTTTTGACCACCAGCTAGGGAAAACAGATGGGAAGACTCCAAAAGCCTCACCAACCAAAAAGACTCAAAAATGTAGCCAGTTAAAAATTACATTAGATTTACAATCCAAGATCACTCTGTCTCCATAAAGCACTAATTTATACTGAACACCCATTTGAGCTAAGACTCAATGGACTTTACTCATTTGCTGAAAATAAGTTTGTTTTTCATGTCCATTGGTGATTCTCTATTTACAGACTTCCTTTTTCAAGAGCTCAAATGGGAAGGGATTTCAAAGTGAAATTATACCACAGGACACAATCACTTTCAGGTCCTTTCTACAGACTTAATGCAACCTGAGTAGTCCCTGAATTATAAATGAGCTAGAGTTCTTTCACTGTAAATAACATGGGAACAGCAGCAGTTTGAGAGTATGCTTGAAATCCCTAAAATGAAAAATCTGCCAGAGTCCAGAAAGAGTGTCCTCTGTAACCAGACCCAACAGGCTCTCTTTAACCCCACGACATCCACAAGGAAAGGTTCTAAGACATCACTCTACCTAACTAGGTGCTGCCACAGAACACAAATTTCAAAGGGCCAGAGATTTGCATAACCAAACACTACATATGAGGTCAAGATGGGTCATCCTTTTGGGAAGTGGTGGGTTATCAGAAAGGGAGAATGCTCTTTTTAAGAAAAGAAAAAGTAGAAGGATAATAGCACCTATCATAAAATCATATGCTTAATTTAAAAATGCATCAGGTAATATGCCAATGACCTCCAAATTTATTTGTTCAGAAAGCTGATCTCTCTGGTGTCCTGTTGTTAAGCTTAATTCTGCAATCCTCAAAAAGTGTTTGGATCTCAAGAAATAGCAAGTAATCAGCCTCAAGCAGACAACATCGAGTTTGATAAAATAATGGAAAACTCAGATAAAGCAGGCCAGGACATTTGCTCCTCTATGGCCTGCATCACCATCTACAGACAGAGCCAGGATTCCTGAATGAACCCAAATTATTTCAATACAGACATGAAGCTGAGAATACAAACTACAGATAAGTAATTAAATGCACAAGAATGAACTGTTGTGCTTCGTACATTTAGGAGATAAACACGCATTACTTCATTTGCAGCCAGCACTCACTAGCTTGCTACCCACGTCAATTCCTGATTCAGAGTTCTGGTTGGTTCTTAATTTATTTCTCAAACTACCATTATATCAAATGTTTAC